TAGGCTCATTGATTTAGCTTGGCACGAAAAGCCGCGAGAGGAGGCCGGGGCAGCGGTGGAGGCGCAGAGGAAGCTTTGGGATGTGGGAATAATGTTGGGGTTTCCCTCTTGGCCGCAGGATGAAACAGGAGAGTGGATGGTGAGAGCTCTTTTAGTGCAGGCGCCTTCGTAGCGAGCCTCCTGCAGCTTACTCAGAAAAAGAAGTAATGATTGTTGTGTTTTTAACTCCTTTGGCAATAGATGTTTTAGAGGGAGGACTGACAAAGGCAAACTCTCTGCTGGCACAGTGTTCTCTTTGTCTATCAGCTGGCACTATTGCCCTCTGTTGAGTAGAGGCACAAAAGGCCCATTGCTGCTCACTGTAGGAGGAGAGCATCCACACCTCATCACATCCATTTCCCCCCCATCACATCGACATGTCACAAAACATCACCCAGGACACGGATTTCTGCCATCACGTCTCTAGTTTGGGGAAAACTATACAAATCAGTTCTAAATAAACCCCTATCCCCTCCCTTAAACAGACTGTTCCGTTACACTGCCCAAACAAAACGGGCATTAATTTCATACACATTACATATTCCATACTACAATTTCCCCTGGAGCTGCGAAGTCTACACACCCAAGAAATAGATGCAGACCTTCCCTTCAATTCGTGTGAGAACAACTGAAATAGCTGCATACTCTGGAAATACCAACCCAAAAGTGCCCAGCTCACACACACAGAAGTGGCAAATTTTGCCTGTGCCCCACTCACCTTTTCTTTTTCTTTCTTCTTTTCAAACCACCAGAGAAGAACACTGTGAAGAGGCACAACAAAGGGACGTGTGTCTGTCTCCACTACACACCTGCAGACATTCAGGATCACCCTCCCTAGGAATGGGCCATTACTGGCCATGGTGTGGTCCCAAGACAGCAAACATGACACGGAGGTAGGAAGATGACTGATGAGGTAAAAGACAGTAGCACCTCCCTTCTGGAAACAGTAAAAAAAGGCATTTGTTTCCACTATATGTAGACATTTGAAGGTTGTTTCATCTATTTACTGCAGTAAAAGCTGCTAAGGATACAAGCACAATCACAAAAAGTACCAAGAGTGCTCTTTGGGTTTTATTTCATTATTTACAAGCCTGTTAAACTTCAGTAAACGTTAAAACCTGCAAACTGATACCAACTCCCAGGACAGATTTATCCCACACTCCCGTCCACAGAGCACGTTCCCCTTTTAGACCTAACCTGTTAAAAAGGAAGACTGCTCTCAGCCACAGACGCTTGTGAGGTCTGTCTCTCACGAAGCAGTTTTCCTCTAAGGCTTTGACCTAGGCAAAGCTCTCCCCTTCCCATACATTCATTACAAACCAAGAAACCCGTCCCCAAACCCCCCAGACCTGCTGGTGCCAGACCAACAGCTCAGTTCTTGGCCGCCTGGAGCCTCCTGCGGAAGTAGTCGGGCGCCGCATCGTAGAGCCAGTCGGCGTCCACCACGCACAGGTCCCGCATGTAGCACTTGTTGGTGTGGAGCAGCCCGTTGTACACCACGCAGGCGGGCTTGCAGTGGAAGAGCACGGAGGAGGGGTGGATGGCCACCGCCTGGTGGGAATCCACGGTGCGGTAGGAGCCGTCGGGCTGCAGCTCCGCGGCGTTCATGAAGAAGCTGTGGGCCAGGCAGCGGCGGATGTTCCCCGTGTCCGAGCGGGAGGACTCAATCGGCATCGAGAGCTGTGCAGCAGACACGGACACAAGAGTAAAGTGTCTGCATAGACTCTCACGGGGAAACACAGCCCTTCAGTGGGCTTCTGAGACCACTGAGTCCGAAATCCTGCCAGCATGAGGGATAGTGACAGCTCGGTCAGGGGTGGAGATGAGCGACAGAGCAGCCAGAATGGGAGAGTCACTGAGAGATGCACCTTTTCCAGGTGCTGGAGGACCCCAATGAGCTGGTGCTGCTGGAGGAGATCCAGCAAGAACTGATCTTGCAAGGTAAAGTCACTACATGTTTTCTGACTCCTCTTTGATCTTTCCTATTGCTCCCTAGTAATCCAGACCAGGTGAGGCTGCACTCTGTGGTTCTCGGAGCCCACCTGCTATAGGGGAAGAGTCTCTGCAGCCGTCCAAAATGCACTGAAACCCTTATTGACAGTTTGAGTGTCATTTTAAGGTCTGTGAGAAGCTGGCAAGAGAGGAGACCACAGAAACAGGCTAGTAGAAAGCAAAAGATGAGCTGCAAAGTGGATCAGGACTGTCCTTCTGGGAGTGGGCTTTAGACCAAGGATCATTCACAGGAGGACAGAGGTGCCAAACGGTGGCTCCCGTGTCACATGTGAGCACTTCAGCAGCAGCTCCCACACTGTGTCTGGTGCTCTGTGACTGGCAGGAATGGTGCTGATGTGAAAGCTGCTGTCAAATCGAATGCCTGACTCCGAGAAGAAGCCAGCCAGCACGGGCTGCAGAGCCTGACATCACCCAGCAGCGCACACAGCACAGTCACATCCACACTCCAGCAGCAGAACTCCTTAGGGAAAAACTTCCTCTACCCAAGAAGCCTTCCCAGAGCTCCCCTTCTCTCTTTACCTCTCCTCAACCCACTGAGCCCCCCAGCTCCGAGATTTTGGGATGCAGCTGCAGAGTCGGGAATTTTACCGGACTATTCATGGGAGACTGAAAACAAACCCCCATTTTCCCACTCCTGGGACTCGGTGCACAGCGAATCAGTTTGGGGACAAACAGAGAAATACAGCGTGGCAACAAGTTACCTTTACACAAATGTCTCTGAGCTGAGCTCTGACGTCTGACACAAGCATCATGTTCCTGCTGTTGATGAAGTTCTCTCTGCACCATCCCTGCAGCAGAGACACCGGAGTTAGAAGGGGCTGTTCCTTCACCCTAAAAGCAGGACTCCTCCAAACACACAATCTCTCTCTCAGAGGAAAGGTGCTAACCCACTTCCTAGCCACATTTCTACCTCTGTCTACGCCCCTCTGTCTACACAGTCCTAAAACCCAGCATGTTGTTGTTCTCTTCCCATTCAGAACAGCTCTGCAAGGCCACATGCTATCCCACAGGTGGGGAAGAGCGATCACCTGAGAATGACAGATGCTGCAAGGAATGGGGTACACGAGTCCACAGACCCACAAATCAAACTGAGAAGTCTATAGGGAAGGACAAACCAAAATCTGCTTGACAACACAGTGTTTTTGCAATGAATCCTGCCAAAGAGCACATCTAGGTATTTATCAGCAAGTCTCAACACTCTCCCACTCCCTCCCATTCCCAGCTGGAACCAGGGGAGGAAGAGACCTGGCTCTGATTCAGAACTGGCCTCACAAAGCTTTGATAACCAGTTTTGCTACAGCTTTTTGGAGGAAACTTTGGCACTTGAACAGCTTTCTCCAGTTACCCACTTGTAAAGGATGCAAATTGCATCAACCATGAAGGATGCAGCTGCCACTCTGCTGTATGCCAAAAATGCTCCTTGCCACCATGAGCCCAGACAGCACTGGCATCCTCAGAGCATCCTACCTTGTTGCCATTGACATTCCTGAAGGCCCTGTAAATGCTGAGCAGGGTCAGATGATCCCCCTCGCTGGAGATGAATTTCCTCCTGACGGATTGCACCTCATCCCGCCGGGCAGGGGGATTGTAGAGGACACTGTCCACGGATAACAGCGACACGATGGTCAGGATCTCCTCTGTACAGTGGAACTTGGGGGACAGTAGGATGGTCTGCAAATCACAGAGCAAACCTCATTTCTGGTCAACCAAATCCACTTCAGACGGGCAGACCCTCCTGCTCCGTGGCAGCCCAGGAACCTTACCAAGCATTGTGTAAACACTCTCACAAACATTCAGGCCTAGAGACAACTGTAAATCCTCCTATGGGCCCATCAAGCACCTTTAACAGCAACTGTTGTGCTCTTTCCCGGGCCTGGTCATTTTATACACTGTACAAACACAGCAACTAAAATCAACCACAGCATCGGACTCCTCATGAAACGGCTGAACCGTGCTACCAGCAAGCCCAAGGACATCCCAAGGAAATAAACCCTGTGTCAGCTTCAGAGGGGCCAGAGAAAGGGAGTATCTTTAAAAAACCCTCCCTGAATTAAATGCCAAACAAACCAGCAGTTGCTGTAAATAAAGCTGTGCTTCATTCAGGTATGGCAAATATATTGGTACAGCTGCAGTCACCCCAAATTCCAGACCTTGTGTAAGAAGTTTCAAAGGGAAATGCCAGTGGAACTGGGAAAAGTACGTGAGATTTCTGCAGGTTTTACCTTAGAGAACTTTGGTTCCAGTGGAAAAGCTGCCATCTTCCTGCCCAGGGGGGTGAGGACAAGCTGATTGTCCTTTCGTTCCACAGCTCCCATCAGGACCAGCTGCTCGATTGCTGCCTGAATAGCCTCTGTCAAAAGAAGGATGTTCAGGCTGTGAGGCCTCCTGGCAGGGAAGTGAAGGATCAGCTGGTACCATCACCACCTCTTTCCCCTTCCCCTTGGCCAGAGGGACAAGGAGTTCCTATTTAGAGGAATTAGTGCTCTTGTGGGTTTATCCCCCTCCATCCAGTAGAACAATCACATCTTCCAATTTAAGTGGCAAAACCAGAGGCAAAACTAAAGCCACCATCTCCAGCTTTGAGTAGAGGCTGAGTGAGATTCCCTGTGGTTTTCCTTGGCAGTCAAGGCACACCTTTGTGGGTTTTATGCTCCCTACGCTGTTTGGAAGCTGGACTCTCCTGCTCTCTGCCATAATCATGGCTGCTCTGATGAGACTGAGTCCAATCAATGAGCAAGAAATGAATCTGAGCCTTCTGGACCACCAGGAGAGGATGCAGCAGAGAGAGACTGCTTCTCTTCCAGAGCTCTGACCTTCCACACTCCATCTTCTGCAGCTGGACTGCAGACATTCATTTTAGGCAATTCCTCAGTGACTCCATCATTTTCTTCCAAGGCTGCCTTTGTACCCACTTACTTACCAGGAGATGGTTTGGACATGAAGTCAAAGGTGAGCACATTGGGAATTCTCAGGGCCAGGAGCTGAAGCATCACACTGGACAGGTTACACCTGCACAGGCACAAAAACCAACTGAGATTGTGCTTTTATTAGTATTATATTCTTTTCTTTTAGTTGCCTGTAAGCTGAGGGGGAGCCCTCAGACCTGTGCTGCAACTTGACAGTAACTAGTCCAATGCTGGCTGGTGAAGCCTTATTTCCTAAACCAGGAAGGGTAAGAGGCAAGTCCAAGATCTGGAGGAAAAGGCAAGAGAACTTTTGTCCATGTGATCCCAACTGTCCCTGAGCAAACAATTCCTAATTTTTCTGTTCAGTCTCTACAGTTAATTTTCCTTAAAAGCCAACCCATTGGACCCTAGATCCAGTTTTGCTGTCCAGTTCTTTAACAGGACATAAAAGAAGCGTGGCAAGAAGTGGGATGGTGTCAGGGTTCTGTCCTCACCTCTGTATCTCGGGTATTGTCATCTGGTTCAGCTTCTCAAAGTCATTCTCTGTGTAGAGCCGGTAACAGATCCCACTGTCCTCTCGCCCTGCTCTCCCTGTGCGTTGCCAAGCCTGGGCCTTCGACACCCACTGGACTGCCAACACTTCCAGACCAGTTTCTGTGCATGGAAAAGCATCACTGCAGTCAATGTCTGTGTAATGCACAGCTTTGAAGAACAGGACAGGTTACCAATAGAACATCCCATGGTTTGCCATCCAAATACTGCTCAGACTTCACGTGGTTTAGCACCCTGAAGCAAAGCTAACCATCACACACTGTGTCCATGAAGAGGAGATTCATATTTGACATATTTGAGCTGGCGCTCAAAAAAACAACCAAAAATCACCACCAAAACCCACACTTAAGCCCTGAGATACTAATTTAGACAGTGCAGAGGGTGTTTTAAATCAGCTCTCAGTGGGGCTCGTTGCCTCAATTAACTGCTGCAACACTGAAAACGATCTCTGCACTGTCCCTTAGATTTTCTCACCAGGTCTGTACTTCTTTGCTTTGACCATGCCTGTGTCCACAACGTATTTTATTCCTGGAATGGTGATGGAGGTTTCTGCGATGTTGGTGGACAGGATCACTTTGCGACAGTCCTGGAAGGAAGAGCAAACTAAAGCCAGTCACAAGCCACCTTAGATGAGCTAGTTCCTATCAGTTCTGAAAACACGTGCTTACACTTGTAGTAAAATACACCATCCAGGACAGATGTTATCACTATGTCTTAATCCATTTTGGTTTCATTTCTGACACAAGAGCAGGATTCTTATTGATCTGCTGAACAGGTACAAAAGGGCCTGAGGCAGCACTATTTCTTTTTCTTATAGCCCTGCAATATGCCTGGGTTTTTAGCTTGCTTAGTGTTCTGTCCATTAACTGCTGTAGCTTTGTTGTGATATGGACATAAACTTCCCATGAAATAGGGCAAATTTCAATTCCTCTGCCCTTTTCACTCCCCCCTAATCCCTCCTTCTTTTTATGATCCCAGATGACTTATCGTATGCACCAGTTAATACCATCCCAGCTCCACTGTCTTATATCACACTGGAACCATTCAGCCTAATGCCAGTGAACAGTGGAGGCTCACTCATCATAAGTATAGACTGCTTTAACCCGTTCAATGCCACATTTCTTTCAAACACACAAGCAAACAAACTCTTCCTGTTTACCCATCACATCCCCTCACCTTGGGGGCAGCCCGAAAGATGCGATGTTGTTGAGAGTAAGGCAGAGAAGCATAAAGAGGTATCACCATCATCTGTGGGCAGCCGTCAGGGAGGTGCTTGGCGATGTCTCGGCAGGTTTTGGTCATTGCTTCGATTTCTTCCTGACCAGTCAGAAAGACCAGGATGTCCTGAGAAGAGGGTGCTTCCTGGAGCCAGAGGAAGAAGCAAGCAAGAAGTGAAGATAGTTTGGATAGGGAGGGAGAACTGAGATTGTAATGAGATGTTGTCCTGAGAGCCAGTCAGCAAAGCAGGTGAGGAAGAAAGAAAAGACACACATGTGGTGCAAGGTGTGCAACAGCCTGAAGTTCTCAGTGGATTCAACAGAATAAGGAGTAAACCACATTTTGCAGGATTCAGTCTTAACAGGATGGAGGAACTGCCTAAAGTCACATATCTGTTTCATGAAATAACTGTCCAGGACGTGCGAAGGAGAGAGCCAGCAAGCACCCTGGCAGCTTTGCATGCAAACATTTAGTCACAAAATGCCTACAAACTGTCCTTTGAATAGATTTCTACTTGCTCTGCAGTTATGCTTTGACAGTAAATGAGAATCATCTTCATGCTACTGTTAGTTTATACCTGGATTTCCCCCCACAACCCAGTGCTCTTTATAGTTCACCACTTCCAATCTTTCTACTCACTTTTGGAATAACACTGGCATTTGTTAACCGCTCCCTTGAGCCAATCCAAATTCACTAACTCACTGTCCACTTTTCCCAGAGGATACACCTCAGGGACATCTCTAACTTGGCAGCAGCAAGCTCACACCATCTTTTCTGCCCCAGCAGCGTGTGAGCCTCCCCAGTCAACAGTCCATGGCCCCAGAGAGGCACAAACCTGAAGAGACAGCCCTACCTGGTGGATCTGGAAGACTGTCACCAGTGCTGCTTGCAGGTAATCACTCTGAGGCTGTCTGGTGTAAAAGACCTGAATGGGATGCTGCCTGCCTTCTAAATAGAGAACAGGAGCTCCATTGAAGTACTCGGAGAACAGGTCAACATCCATCGTCGCTGACATGACGATCACCTTCAGTAGGAGCATAAGATGGGTTAGCACTGCAGTTTTGAACCAGCAGGACACTTACAAGTCAGGATCAGTCAAAGGTCAGCTTTCAGAGACTGAGATATATGCTCAGAACAGCAAAAAGCATACAGAGTTTGGGAGAGAAGAAAGTGATCTTTCCTTAATGAAGCCATCAGCTTTGGTACCACACAAGGGTAACATGTTGGTATCATAAAATAAGCAAATAATTCTTTCTGACACTTAAGAAAGAGAGCTGACAGCCACAAAGCTATGCTGCAGAGTGGTCTGTTGAACAAGGCTGTGCTAGGACCCTGCCAGTCCCCTTCATGCCTTCCCCAACAAAACCAACACGCTTTCACATGCTTCATCACGTACTCACACAAATTCATTACACATCCACCCAACGCACATGTGCAATCTCCTTCCCCAGTGTGAGCATGTCATAGAGCTGTCATATCAGAGAGAATGCTCCTGTAGCCAGGGTGCTCTCAGGAACACTGCCAAAACCTCCCCCAACAACGCATCCAGTCTACAGCTCACACCTCAGGGGCTCTTAGGAAAAAAGGCCCCACAGAGGTGACCAGATACGTTGTTCAGATGTGCCATATCAGGCCCACGCATCATAAGCTGCCCACCCTTATCTGCTGAGATTTAAAAGGACTTTTTAGAAACAAGAAGAGGCTGAAATTTCGAATGCTTTGGCAAACCCCAGGAGATGCTCAGAGTCCAAGCCCCAGGCCCTGCCACGTACTTTTAGTGGCAGCTTGCCCAGTTGCTTTCGTTTCTTCTGTGCAGCTTTCACCACTCCGAAGAGTACGTCGGTGTGGATCGTCCTCTCGTGGGCTTCATCCAGGATGACAACGCTGTACCTCCGCAGCAGGGGGTCTCCAATCGCTTCCCGAAGCAGCATTCCATCTGTCAAAAACTTGATTCTGGTTTCATCAGACGTTAGGTCGTCGAAGCGGACACTGTAGCCGACCTACGGGAGCGAATGTTACAGACAGCACCAAGCTACTGGTGTTTCTCATTGGCTTTGTACCACAAGGGAAGACTACAAAGCACTCTGGTAGGACAGAGCCAACTGGAACTCAAGGAGGCTCTGGGAAGCGTGACAGTGTATTTGCAGTCGGAGAGCAATTAATCTTGCAAGTCTAATGATCACCCAAAGGATGCTCTCAACAGTGTATCCTAATTGGCTTTTTCCCAACTAGAAGTTCATCATAATTGCCCTGAGTTTCCTTTCCTTCCTCCTCTGCTAGAAACTATCCCATGATCTTCAAAGATTTTTTTTCTCCTCCACTTTTCTCCCACAGATTCACAGGTCTGCACGGATTCAGCACTCTGCTCTCCTTGCCTGTGACTTTCAATACAGGGAACAGTGGAAGAGAGTGCAACACTTTGTTTTAATCATTAAGCAGTATTGTTTTCAACTAGAGGACTGCAGAGAACAACCAAGAAGTAAAATACCACAGACAGAGTCAAACACCCCCCCTCCATGCCACAGAAGCATGTGAACAGCCATTCTTTCCCATCCAGGCACATTATTAAACGAAGATGACCCCCGTGGCTGTTATTATCTTCCCCATTAAGCCCTAACACGGCCCCACCGACACTGCAGCACCAAACCAACTGCCTAAAGACGCTGTAAAACACCCTACCAGTCCCCCCAGCTCTGTCTTCTTCTCATCCGAGACTCTGGTAGCTAAGGCTATCGCTGCTACTCGCCGAGGCTGGGTCACAGCGATGGTGCCTTGGCGGCCGATTCCTGCTTCGTAGAGGTACTGAGGGATCTGGGTGGTCTTCCCCGAGCCCGTTTCTCCTGAAATACATCAAGGGAGTAGTTTTTCTACCAAACGCTCTCCATAAACCTCGAAGCAGCGGCTGCCAGACCGAGCCCGCGCTCGGCACCAAACCCGTCACCGCTTTACTACACTCGACCACGCTCCGGCGCAGCCTCCCACGGGCCGCGGCGTCCCCCGGGGCC